GACCCTATTCCTCTTCATACTGAAATAAGTTCCTCTTAGTTCAATGGGTCTCCATCCTAGCTAAGTGTGTACAGGACTGCAACTGGAGCCTACAGTTCTGTGCCCACTTGCCTGGAAGCTTTGAACTCTGTGCAACTTATTTTGTGTAAACATGGATTGGGAATGGAAGTCTTAATATGAGCTTGAAGCCAAAGTCTTGGCTGAAGTCTAAAGCAGTGAACTCTGAAGATCCATTTCTACAGAGCACCTTCAGCGAAACTTTCAGTTTGGTTCTGCGGCCTCAGCTGATGCACTACATAAAAGTATCCTAAGTCCCTTTGCTGTGAACATGAAAGTGTATGGTATGGGTCCATATCCCTGATTGGGGAAGTGAACTCATAGGATGTGCTGGTCTGCAAAAAGCCCCAGGTTTAAATCATGGCATCCCCAGTTAAAAAAATATGTCAGGTAGATGAAAGGAGTGGTACAGTCCTTTCTCTGCCTCAGATCTGGCAAGCAGCTTCCAATTAGGCAGTATTATGAAAAATGGATTAATGCCAGTTTAAGTGGTTTTCTTTCCAAGTCAGATTATGTATCTTTTCCAACTCCTGGAGATTTGTAAGAGCATCTGTGCTAAACAGCAAACTGATCTCTCAGGTCCTTCAAACAGAACTTGGCCCTGCAAGAGATTTAGCAGTGCTGCTACTGGGGGGTGGGGAGCATACTGCAAAGCTAAAAGAAAACAATAGCAACTTTTGACATAAAAGTGTGAAAAGCCATTTTGCTGTTACTTTCTGAAATGAGACATATGTTGCAGGGTACTTGACTGCAGGTAAAAGCATTTTCCAGGATTGTGGAATATGGGAATGAGATTCTTGGAGTGGACTGATCACTCATTTTGTTTCTATAAGTCTACTTATGGTGTCACATAATCTAAATCCACACTAGATGAGATAAAGAGGGGGAAGCAGGATATGATACATCTCCCTTGCCTATACTTGGCTTCAGCATGGAAGGTATGGATTTCATGGCCCCCTTGTGTCAAACATGGGAGTATGACTCCCACTGGGTTCAAAATAAGAGCTACTTCTCTTTGAACCTAGCTGCAGATGCAGGGGTATAGCTAGAAAAAAATAGGGACTGAGACTGGGCAAACTACTCAACAAATGCTAGCCATTCAGGAAAAAATAATATTCTTCTGTTACAAAAGTGAACCAAATGATGCATCCATTACAATGTATTCAACAATGGAAACTTTTTCCCCTTGAAATGGTCAGATTTTGGGAACTTGTACTTTGGGTATGATTAGGTAAAGACACATTATATACAACATTGTACTTTGCTTCAAAGTAGTTGAAGTTATTATTGTAGTTACATGCAAACTATTGGTCCAGCATTAATAGACATCAAGACAAGAGAGAATATATAACTAACTTGCCATTGAAAATACTGATACAGCTAAAAATGACATAGTTGGTGACAATGACTGCTTCATGCTGGTTTTCCAGTTCTCTCTGTAGAAGAGCCTTTCTATAAATGTATTTAGGGGGAGTGGTCCAAACAAGCCCAGACCTGAGCACTCATAATAGTGCTGGAGAATGGTGGAGCAAAGTATGGTAAACAAATATTCTGTGAGATATTTTTCTTGTTCTCTATATTGAAATATAGGGGAAAGAGAGAAACAATAATCCCAGTCTTATTCTTCTGGGTTGGAAAATTGCTAGGCCATATTCAAGGATAAGAATCTACTGTCTGTCTTTAAGGCCGACATTTAAGGACAACAGTTGAATCATCAAGCTGTGGAACAAGCTCAAATGCCATTTTCCTCAAATGTCACATCTGTTGATCACAGTACTAGCTCATGTGCACTAGCTAGAGCTGAATAAGAAAGGAACATTTATTTGGTCTACTTTTCGCAGCAGACCATCTCAAATTGCTGTGGAAATGTAGAGAACTGAATTTAAGGCTGGGGGAAAAATTAAAAACTCTAGAAAACCTAAAGGTAAAGGTAAAGGACCAGTCAAACTTGACTATGGGGTGTGGCGCTCATCTCGCTTCAGGCCGAAGGAGCCGGCATTTGTCCACAGACAGCTTTACGGTGTTTCCATGAGCTCTGGCACTCATCATGGTGTCCCGTTGCACCAGGAAACCAAAATTAACATATTAGTCTACCCCTTACCTGTTTAGGGAAGCTTTTAATGTTTAACAGACCATTGTATTTTAATATTTTGTTGGAAGCTGCCCAGAGTGGCTGGGGAAATCCAGCCAGATGGGCGGGGTATTATTATTATTATTATTATTATTATTATTATTATTATTATTACATTAGGTCTGGTCTTTACCAACAGCAGATCCAATGGAAAAACTGTTCATGGGCTGTACCATTTCAGATTGCTGATATTTTTCTTGTGGGAAGCATCCCTGCAATGTAGAAAACCAGCAAATCAGCAAGAAGGCTAGCACAGAAACTTTCCCCCAGACATTCAAACATGCAAATCCCACATGCAATCGGACATAGATTAACTACATGACTTGATGTTTACATATTCAGTTACTTAAATCCCAGAATTTATGGTTTTCAACAATAGAGCGCCTTACCAGACACAATATTATCAAAACTATTCCTGCCATACACATACCTACACTAGGCTTTCCTAGAGCAGCACACATTACACATTATATGGAAACTGCCACCACCCATCCCTCTACTAGGAATCCTGTGAGGGGATCAACAGTGGAAAGCCTGTGGCTGTCCAGTCTCAGCCAGCTTCCTTCCTTCCTTCCTTCCTTCCTTCCTTCCTTCCTTCCTTCCTTCCTTCTCTCTCTCTCTCTCTCTCTCTCTCTCTCACACACACACACACACACGCACGCACACACACACTGTAGGTTTATCAATGAATTCTGTCTTTGCAATGAAACCTCTGCCTATGATCAGAGGCACCGGGTTCTTAATTCTTTTTTTAATTAATTTTCCCACATAAAGTACAAAAAAACTTGTCTGCAAGCAGTTTTGGAGACTTGCATCCAAGACTGAAAGCTTTGTAGATATCTCAAGTGATAGGGACTCGCACCTTTTATTGTATGTAGCACAGCAAGGGGTCTATTTAATTGCCAAGCCCTTCCTATGTTTGCAGTTAAAACCACTTTCCGCTGAGGCAAACCATGTGATGGGGTGCAATGTTAAAATAAATGCCTCTACCAAGTGTAGCAGTCTCAATGTGTGGAGCATTTGCTCACCAGCATTAGCTGCCTCCAGGCCTTGCAGCAGGAGACTACAAATGTTCCACACACTGAGACTGCAACACATAGCAAAGGCTTTTAACGAGGGCATTGCTTGTCCCACTGGGTGAACAGAGTGGTGGTGTTTTTAATGATCCAGAATTTAAGAAAATGCACTTCTGTAAGAAAAATTCAGACTGCACTCTGATTCAGCGTAATGCTGGCCTCAGTAACATGGCTTGCAATAGTGTTCTAGCAAAGCAGTAGCTATAAAATACAGAAAAAGAACAAACGATAGGCAAAGTGTTTACACAATGCAAAGTACCATTTACACATTTTTAAAATATATATATATAGCCTTGTTCCACAGGATGGAATGGGAAACTTGTGGGAGGAGGGCAGATGGTGTTGGACTACAACTCCCAACAGCCACAGCCAGCATAGCCGATGGTCAAGGATCATGGGAGTTGTAGTCTAGCAACATCTGGAGGGCCACAGATTCCTCAAACCTGGCCTAAACATTGATGGCCTATTGTTTTATTTTTCTGAGAGTGGCATTACACAACTGATGTTCAAGATACTTCAGTTGTGAGACAAAGACTAAACATGGGATGTTTTTATGTCTCAGGGACAAAACCCATACCAAAGAAAGCACTGCTACTTGTCAAGTTATTCAGCAAAACCACTCTCCTACTATGATCAAGCAAATGAAAAGCTTGATGAGAAAGGCAGTTAGCGAAGATCATACTTACACCCGTTTGTTTTTAGTAATTAGTCACAGTGTTAATAGAAACATCTACTTTAAGCAATAGTTGCTTATTTGTGCAAACTGTGGGGCCATATGTTCTGGTGGGTGTGGAAGGGTGTTGATAACAAAACTATAAACTTTGTGGATTTTTGTTATGTGAAATGTTGCATGCTTGCTCCCTACTCTGTGATATTTTCACTTCTGAGTGGTTGTCCTCAACTACCGTTTTCCATCTTTTTCCTCAGTAAGAAATGTGCTAAAGTGGGTAAAAATAGGCAAGTTAAGTATACACAAACAGATGCCCTCAGAAATGTTCAAACTTGATTGCTAAAAATCAGGAAATGAAATCAGGGCTGTGAAAGTGAAGGAGTATATACAGATGTTGCAGTAACCTTATTCAGAGGTTGTTGTTTTTTTATGCTGCCTTTTTAAATATATCTGGGACTCCCCCCACCCAATGCAAGCTGGTTCCTTCTGGATGGTGACAACGATTGATTATGCAAGCAAAACATTTGTTTCCTGTGAAATATATTATAAAACTAAAGCAAAAAAAGCAAGTAGGAACTAGATAAATGTTGCATCATGTCTTTGAATATGTCCACATAGCCAGTAAGTAGTCAAGTCTTAAAATCGAGATCTACAAAACACGGCACACCAACATCAGAAGTATAATGCTTCTTTCAGGGATATCAATGTCCATGAGCAGAGGGAAATGGTTTACTCTTGATGTATCTATCATTGTCTTCTATAAGCAAGGATGCCTGGGAAAGCAGATTTGGATGAAATTTTTGTTGTAGACCTGGAGATGAAGAAGCTTATACAAGCTGCATCAGGCAACCAATTTGCCCAGGAAAGTTACCTGTTACCCGCAAGTCTCACACTAGCAATGGTCTAGAATGGTATTAAGGAAACAGTGCAAGGAGCAAGCTTGCAGATGTAATCTATAAAGTTTAGCAGAAACTAGCTTTTATTTCACAAATTCAGATCACATACTCATCTAAAAGGCTATGTCAACCAGTAGGCAACCAACCAGAGACAAATAGCAAAAACCACCATGTCCAAAGACCACCGATCCGCATGGATCTGTGTTCATAATCAACAGCGAGGCATTTACATGACAACAAGTTGTTCTGACACTCAATTTCAGCTATGCATAGACTTGAACTCAGATATTAGCATCCCTTTCAAATATACTAACACCATTTCTATTTTTATTTCAGGCTTCTTTATTCAACACTATACTGGTAGAGTAGATCGTTGGGAAAGGGTGAGTTGTTAGAGGTTTGTCAACTCACTTCCAATATTTATGTAGTAGACTCGTACACACAACAAGCCAACAGCTTTGGGCAATACAAGAACCGCCACGCCTACAGAGCTTAGGTTTTCTGCCTCCAGTTGTGGCTTCGGAGAGAGAAAATCTGAGAGAAAGAGACAGGAATTTCAGGATTTCAGACATGATTCTCTCCCAGATATGTCAGGGACTGAACCTGTCAGCTTTGGCCTGCAAAGCAGATGATCTTACCACTTCGCTATGCCCCTCAGTTTATTCATTGCTTTGCCTCTTTGTCGTTTTCTGTTCTTTACAGTGTACTCATAAGTAAGCCCCTCTGAGCTCGGTGGGGTTTACGCCTTGGGAAGGGTGTTTTGGCTCACCACATCAGCTGCAAATCTTGACACCTTTATGTGTTCAATGCAAAAAAAGAAGAAGAGCAGGTGGACAGCTCACTACTTTGTTGAGACCTTGCTTCCAAAATGTGAAAATGGTTTAGCAAGAAGAACTTTGAGACCTGCGGGTATAGGATGGAATATAAATTCAAACAACAAACAACAACAACAACTCAAAGCCATTTCTGATCCATTCACACGCCTCACTCTCAGAAAATGAGAGATTATCCGACCCATTTCATATCTCACGCAAATGGATAGCTGGAGTATTTTTAGTAAAGGCCTCCTTTCTCATTTTTTATTATTTTTCTTTTTGTTTTTGGCAGACCCAACCCAGCCATTTTCTAGCCCAGCTTGGCTTTGAGTCGCTGAGGTAATAATGGCCATGACCATTATTCTCGACAATTGCACTGAAGATTAAAGGAACCCTAAAACTCTCGGAATGATAGATTTACTTGCTAGGGGAGGGGGAAACCACATAAAACTCTGCTCTGAAGAACACAATTTTTTTTCCAAAAAAAAATATATTTTACCTTTCTTGTGCTAACCATTTTATTTGACTGAAAGAGATGCTATCTCAAGGCAGCAGATGTGAAGTGCTAACAAATGGAACCCGTCTCAGAAGCCCTCTAATCTAAATGTTTTTTTAATGTATAAATGCCATATGCTGAATGGAATTTTTTTTTTCCTCCCAGGCTACTATTTTTTTTTTATCTTGCTCTTTTCATGAAGCTCTCTAGTGAGAGATGGTAAGATAGCTGAACCTGTCACCACTGACCACATTGCTCTAAGGCTCAGCACATGCATGAATCCCCAAAGTCCTCTGAAAAGGCAGGAGAGAAAGAAGGTCATGCAAGAGACACATAAGGAGGTCTCTGTGTTGGCAGAGGAAAGGAGGTTTCTTATACCATCCTCAAGCACCAGTCAATTCACATATGGAAACGTTTGTTTTACTTTCCAAAATACATTTTGCATTTTTAAGCGAAGGTCCAAGTGAAACTTCTACATCGATTCAGGTAAGAGTCATGTCAAATCGGCAGAAAATACTGTTTAGGTAATAAATAGGAGGTAATAAACTGGCATTGCAAGACTATACTTACATGTCTTCCCAGAAGTAAGTCCCATTAAGGTCAATGGAGCTTATACCCCTTGCAGCCATTTTTTAAAAAATAAAAAGGCTGTAAACTTGTGGGGTAGGATCAAAATGCAGCAGATCCATGTTGGAGAGAGACAAGGATCTTTCCCTTTTAAATTATAACTTTTTTTTATTTTGGGGAGGATCTTTCAGAGTAATGGATGAAATTCAAAAAGAGCAATAATTGCTCTATTCCAAAATACCTACTGCCAGTGCCACCCGCACACTTCAAGAGAAGAGCTTATATTTGGAGCTTGCCAGTGGGTTCCTCATCTTTGTGAGCAATAGGATCATTTTAATATCTCCAAGTGCTACCACACAGAGTAATGAAAGATGTATATGATATTATAAAAAATATTTATAGTCGCTGGCAATACATGCCTGCTTTATTATGAAATAGAAAAAGTATTGTCCATCATACCATAGCAGTTAAGCCACTTGTGAAAAACAGCCTCAGGGAAAGAAATCTCATGGGTCCAGGTAAATGATGCAATGAAGGACTCATTCAGCAAAATTCTTCACAGCTTCTTTTCAATAGGTAAGCTGTTGATAGAGAGGCCTTCAATATTTTGTTTTTCCCCAAACAGAAGACCAGAGACGTAAGGACAAGTGTGGGCACTGATTGAAAACCTTACAAATTTTGCCATAGCTCTATAAACAGAAAAATATGCATAAGGTAGGGTTGCCATATTTCAAAAAGTGAAAATCCAGACACCAAAGTTTTTGAGCTATTTTGAAGGAAATTTGCCAAAATCCGACATGGGTTGCCGGATTTTCCCAGACGTATCAGCAATTTCCACAGACGCCGTTTCCAACTGCCATATTCCAGCTATGTCCAGGAAATTCTGGATGTATAGCAGCCCTCCATAAGGGAGAAGCAATTTAACCATACCTTCTCCATGACCTGTGCAGTGGGAATATGGAAGACCTTCATACTGTTAGGGGTTAGTTGTGTACTGCAATGGTGCCTCTCATGCCCAACTGTCTTTTTGGGGGGAGGGATTTGTGTTCCCTGAATTAGCCCACCCAATTTCTTGCCCCATGTTCAGACACCTGCTTATCTATTGATTAGGCACAGGCTCCAAGGTCAGCTAACTGTTAAATGAGCACAGGGGTCCACTCACATAGTCGCTGAGAATGTTTATGTGTACAGTGGTACCTCTGGTTAAGAACTTAATTCATTCCGGAGGTCCGTTCTTAACCTGAAACTGTCCTTAACCTGAGGTACCACTTTAGGTAATGGGGCTTCCCGCTGCTGCCGCACCGCCAAAGCACAATTTCTGTTCTCATCCTGAAGCAAAGTTCTTAACCTGAGGTACTATTTCTAGGTTAGCGGAGTCTGTAACCTGAAGCGTCTGTAACCCGAGGTACCACTGTACAAATATAAAAGGGACTTGGAAACTCTCCTTTACTTTAGCCTATGTCGAGACCGTGGAAGGTGCTATGTACTGGTGATTACAGAAAAACATCCATTGCTGTTCCGTGAGGGTCCCCAGTGACTCAAGGAATGTAAGCTGTCTGCCTTTTGCTTTGCTCTTTGTCCTTGTTTGGTTGCCTCATCCGGCCTTTAAATAAAATCGGTTTTTCAACAAACAGACCTGGTATGCTCTTTGCTAAGAATCCAAAAAGAACCATTGCTCTTGGCTGAACAACCTACTAGGTTTTTAATGTTCAGGGTTTAAAACGCACATGCAAATGTGCAAATCCCTGCAGGATCAAGTGGTATAGTCTAGATCAGAAGTGTATCCCTCACATGATTGCTGATTGCAAGCATCAGACTCCATAGTTTAGCTATAAATGGGACTGGAATGCTTTCTCACACTTCAGCATGTTTTTGTCTTACTCCAAACAGCTGACCATCCCCACTTGCTTTCTTCCTTGCATGTGACTCAACTGTTGGCAGAGAACAAGAGAGCAGATATTGTGCTGTAGAATGTGTTAGTTCAGTTCAAAGAGACTGATAATCTTGCATCTTGCTCATAAGTATAATAGAATGCAAAATGCTTTGGTATTTGATACTTCCCACCCCCCTCGTTCCATTTTCAGATGTTCAGGATATCTATCCCCAAAAGTAATGGTTTGAATTTATTAGCATAAATATCTCCAGGCTATCAAAAACCTTCCTTTTATATAGGTTATGTAGAACTATACTTTCCCCTCCCTGCATTTAGGGCTTAAGAATTTTGTTTTAATCCTCGATCTTCCCACATACAGTGTTAATTACACTTTGATAAGCCATGTTAGTAAGATGGGGAGATGAAGTGCAAAGAGCAAGAATTCCCTTCGCAGCAACAAGACAACGCTAACTGGAAGTTTCTTAGAGGAATACACCAACAGTTCAGAGGGGAGACAGAGACAAAGAGGGAGGGGGGATGTCAGCAGATAACACAAAACAAATCAGAATAAGCAATAGGGGACAAACAAGTTCTGTTGAGAAGGCATTAGAGCACGGGTGTCAAACACAAGGCCCGCAGGCCGAATCCGGCCCGCCAGACCTCGTCATGTGGCCCGTGTACATTTGAATATCTACTTATATTCTAGTTCCGGGCAAGCGGCTTCTCTGAAAGACAGGAACCGGCCGCAGCCCCGGGTTTTTATTCCCCTCCCTTCCTTTTGCTGCGGAGAGGAAGCGAGAACTGCAACGAGCCCCGGAACTGGGAAGAGGGTGCGTGGGTGACTGAGTTGGAGGGTGAAGATTTGGGTTGGGCAAGAAGGATCAAGGGTTGGGAGCGAAAGCGCAAGTCAGGGCTCCCTCGCCACCCCCACCCCCCTCTTAGGACATCCGAGCAGACCCCGCAGCGCAGGCAGCCGTGAATGGGGTGGGGGAAGGCAGGCGAGAGAGACCACCGATCCGGGCCAGCTGTGCCCAAAGAGGGTCGGCGATCCAGCTGCGCCTCAGCCCGCCTGCCCCCCCCTCCAACACGAAGATCAGCCACACGAGCTCGCCAGCCGAGCTCCGGGACGCGGGCCTGACCGAGTCCCCGGCGCAGCCGCCAAAGCTAGCAAATGCACGGGAGCGGCAGGGTGAGAAGAAGCTGGGCTCCGGTTAGGCTTCACCAAAAATGCTGTAGGTGTGAGGCTGCGCGGCGTGCTTTTTATACGGCGCGCTGTACCCCTCCGCCGGAGCAGTGCCTTCTTTTTCCCTCTCCCTCCTGGGACTGGGGCATGTGGCAGCAGAATGACTGCAGCAGGCAGCCCTGCCCCCTCCCCTCCCCACACCCGCCCGGCCCCTCCCCCGCTCCCTCCCAGCCGCCAGCCCAGCTGGCAGGCGGCGAGGAGAAGGAGGAGAAGAGGGGTCGCTGGGCGCGCGCTCCATCTCCCTCCAAGGAAACGGTAGGCAGCAGCAGCAGCCGGCGCATTGGCTTCGGAGCGCCTGCCAGGGGTTGCAGCAGATGCTGCTCGCGGCTTAGGCAGCTTCCATGTTCCTGCTTTGGTCCGAGAGGCCGAGCTGTTCCACAGCAGGCAGGGAGAAGGGCAGGCTGTGTGTCTGCTGCTTCCCTCGGAAGCCCCGAGGTGTAGAAGCCTGGCAATAAAGACAAGAGCGAAAAGGGGCCTGGCAAGGATGCGTTTGGGGCCGGCCCTACTGTTAGGCAGAGTGAGGAGGAGAGATCTTGAGGCGACTGGTTTGGGGGTGGGGGGAGGGCAAGAAGAGGAAGCAAATTCTTGCTTAGTTCATTTATTGTTTCTGGAGTTTTGCTCCCAGGGAGAAGGAGAGGAACCTGTGGGAATTCGCAATATCCGCAATAGCCAGCCATGTACATTTGAATATCTACTTGCCGTTATTCTGACTATGTTTCTGCTTTCAGAGCTAGTTATTACTTACATTATTACAAAAAAACAGTAATAATTGAATGCAGTGACAATAATTTATGATAATAAAGAGTGGACACATAGTCCTACAGATACAACCGGCCCTTTGAGGGTGACCAAACTGCTGATGCGGCCCCCAATGAATTTGAGCTTGACACCCCTGCATTAGAGGATTTAGACAGAAGCACACTTTCCTTTACAAAGGAACAGTAAGCATGCATGTCCTATGTGAAACATGCAGTATAGATAGTTGGAAATGGAACATTTACGTAACAGTACTAAGGGGAAATTGAGTATTGTACACAAATGTGTGTAATATACACAGTGCCATTTTTCTTCCAAAAAAAAAGCAGCTTCAGAGTGGATGGTTTTGAGATGAGAAGTGGCAGGCAAGGAGGTGCTTTATCTTCTTTTCTTTTCTTTTTTGCTGTTGGCCACTTGGCCACTTGAATTCATTCCTCCAAAAGTTTCCTTCCTCCAAATGTGGGGTTTCCTTTGCACTTGATCTGGGAGCTGCAGTTAGTGCAGAAAGTTGCAGTGCAATTGCTGACAGGACAGAATCCTTGTCAGCACATAGTACCTGTGCTCAGAGATCTGCACCGTCTCCTGATTTCCTACAAGACACACATCAAGCCTGTAACAATTTAGAAGCAGTTTGCCTGCAAGATCACCTTATCTGCCCACTTGAGTGCTTTGATCGGCGGAACTGGTACCGTTACAGGTGCCGCATAAAACTAGTTTTGCATTTGTTGACATTTTGGTGCCTGCTAAAAGCATTTTTCGTCGAGACAATTCTACTTGGACATGTAGAATGTTGGTATGTATCTTACTCTGTTTTTAGATTGTTCTCAATACAGATGCCTTCAGATGTCTTCTAAAACTAGTGTAGCTCTTTATCTCATTGACATCTGAAGGGAGGGCGTTCCACATGGAGGGCACCACTACCAACAAGGCCCTGTGCCTGGTTCCTTGTAACTTTGCTTCTCGCAGTGAGGGAACCAGCAGAAGACCCTCAGAGGAGGACCTCAGCATCCAGGCTATGCAACAGGGGTGGAGACGTTCCTTCAGGTATATTGGGCCGAGGCCACTTAGGGCTTCAAAGGTCAGCACCGACACTTTGAATTGTGCTCAGAAACGCACTGGGAAATATGCCTGGCTTGGTTTCTTTTGAAAGAAGGGATTGCTGGAGACTTGTGATATTTTGTAATATAGTGGTACCACGGGTTAAGTACTTAATTCATTCCGGAGGTCCGTTCTTAACCTGAAACTGTTCTTAACCTGAAGCACCACTTTAACTAATGGGGCCTCCTGCTGCCGCCACGCCACCAGAGCACGATTTCTGTTCTCATCCTGAAGCAAAGTTCTTAACCTGAAGCACTATTTCTGGGTTAGCGGAGTCTGTAACCTGAAACGTATGTAACCTGAAGTGTATGTAACCCAAGGTACCACTGTATTTATATATATTTACAAACTTACAAGCCAGATCAACTCCTGTGTGCATAGTGGTACATGTGCCCGGTTGCTGCCTGTGCATGGTGCCCATGACAGTTTCCCCAGCTTGCAAATGTGTCCACAGTCCACAAACCCTGCATAAAGATAGACCCACAGCAGCAGTCCTAGTCTCAGAAACCTAATGGCAAAATCCAAAACAGTATATAGGTTGCTTCCGCCACTGTTCAGTTCAGGCTCTTCTAAGCTCACAAGCATTTCCCAGTGCATCCTGTGGCCAGTCCCATTAATTAAGCACCACATTTAATGATGGAAATGATTAAGCCGAATTATGGTTTTAAAGGATGCCATTTATGTTCAGTAGCCTCACACAAAATATTAATTGCATGGGTTTTAGCTTAATTAAATACACAATTTTGTGTGTGTGTGTGTGTGGTCAGAAACTGTTCACTCTTGGAAATCCTTGCTTTTCAGCATTTAAGTATTACTGAATGTCCTTCCTTCAAGCATTGGCTGACCACTTGAAAATGTGAATGTTGATACGACATAAAATCTTGCTACATAAAATAATGTGCTATGAAAACTCTTGATTTTATCATATATTGTGATAATTTTATTGCTCCTACTGCTTTTAAAGTCTGTTTTCATCATATTTTTAAATGACTATTTTATACCGAGGGCCTTTTCGGTAGTGGAGCCCTCCTTGTGGAACACCCCTCCTTTCAGATGTCAAGAAGATAGAGAACTACTTTTAGAAGACATCTGAAGGCAACTGTCAGGCTTCAAGGAATCCGATCCCTCCCACGGTGGCAGCCAAGAAGCAGATAACCAAAAAACAGTTATTACCAAGTAATTTAACCACTATGCACAGAGAGAGACGAAGGAATGCAGTCTACCTAGGATAATGGTGTTGCTCCAAGTAAAGTCCCATCCCCTCCATCTCCCCTATTCTATGCCACCCCTGCATCGGCTTATCTGAGCTTTCTGCCTCTGAGCTTTCTGTTCTACCACCCTCAATGCACGCCTGGTCCTGGGAGAGGGGGGTCAGGAATGCTTTCCAAAGACACTGAGTCTGTCAGCTGCCTGTCCCCTGTTGCTTCTTCCTCCTGCTGTTCCTCTCCCAATATTTCCCAGCTTCTCCCCTCTGCAGCCTCTGAACTATGCCCTTCTGCAAACCACTGATCTAAATCTATACTGTCTTCCTGTTCTTGGGAAGGTTCAGGAGAAGGTAGGGCGGTCCCCACCATTCCTCCTCAGTCCAGCCCCTGACAGCAGCCCTGTATCGGGACGTTTTTAATGCTTGGTGTTTTACTGTGTTTTTGTATATGCTGTAAGCTGCCCAGAGTGCCTGGGGAAACTCAGCCAGATGGGCGGTGCAAATGAAATTGTTGTTGTTATTATGGTTATGCAGTACAGTAACCTTAACTTAGCACCACCCCTACTCGCGAACAATCCAACTCGCGACCGCAGCAAACCCGGAAGTAAATACCCGGAAGTAAACATCTAAAAGCCCAACATGCTGGTTTTGTGGGCCTATTTGAAACCAGTGTGACATAGCATCCTTTGCATGGCGAATGGCATGATCTTATAGAATCACAGATTTGTAGAGTTGGAAGGGACCACAGGGGTCATCTAGTCCAACCCCCTGCAATGCAGGACTCTTTTTGCCCAGCATAGGGCTCAAACCCATGACCCTGAGATTAAGAGTCCGATGCTCTACTGACTGATCTTGTTCACTTGTGTGCATGTGCGCACCCATGTGTATTATTATACAGCACACACAAAATCTTCCATATATTTATTTTCCTGGATATTTGTGTGCTAAAAATAATTAGACATATTTATGTTTATATATTTCTTCATATTTTTGTATTGTATTCATAGAACAGTAAAAGAAAAACCAACCCACTGCTTTTACAGGAGACAAATAGCCGTGCAAAAGTTGGATATATTTGGCCCAACTACATCATAAACCACATTAAAGGCTTTTTCCTAAGCTGATAACCACAGTTTCCCAGTTCCCAGGAAACTGTACCTAGTGCATTGCCCTCAGGCTGGCCACGGAGGGAGGGAGGAAGTGGCTGCAAGGGCAATTTTCCTTCACCCCGAGCCACTGTGTCAGAATCATAGATATCATACATGACATCACTTAATGTGAAGACAGAATTGAAATGTCTGGGATTTCTACCCATCTGATAGGAATGACATCTATATCAATGCAAAGACCCATTTTATTTCTTAACAAAGAAATTGAAACTTGCCTAGTTGCATAACGCTAAGAGATCTGGAAACATAACCAGAGCTCAAACATCTGCTTTTCGTTTCCCGAACTTTTGATGGCAAAACTGTGTTATTTTTAGAATTTTACTAATCTCGTAGACATCCTGCCAACGCTTTTTATTCCAAACGTGATTTGCCTATGTGTCTCTGGCCTCGCGCAAACCTTTACGCATCTGTCCTCAGGCTCAATTATGGCACCTTTTTGCGAACTAAGATCAGAACTATATTTGCTGAGATAGTGAACTTAGTGTTGCCATATTTCAAGAAATAAGAATCCAGACACAAAAGTTGCTGAGCTTTTTTGGGGGGAAATAGCCCAACATTCTGAGATATTTCCAAATTCCTCCCGGATGCTAATTTCACAGTTGAAATCCTGGACGTGTCTGTGAAATTCTGGGCCTATGGCAACCCTAACTTAGTTTTTCTAAGACAGACAGATGATTTCTTGTGAATAAATCAGTGGTTCCTCTTCTCTGCTAATGTTGTGTTCTGCTACCTTCCCAACCTCTCTCCCCAAATCTTTGTTTCCAAATGTAGAAAATGACGACTCAAATGAGCTCAAGAACATCTGTGTTCAGCATAAATTCTGTGGACAGAATCTCCAATTCTGCAATGCAAAACTGTGACAATTCCTATCCTGTTTCATCAGCTTCCTTGCACTTTTAATGTCCTTTAGAGATTATTTGCCCAGAGTTTTTCACATGCATGCATTGTTTTACATTTCATCCAGTTCCTCCTTTTGATTTCCAAATTAGTCTATGCCTGTATACTATGATCAGGAAGCACTGTTTATTTTATTTATAAAAGCATTTCTATACTGCCATATCACAAAATATAAAGGCAGTGAGGATAATAAAGCACTGATATTAAGGAACTCTGGGGAAAGGCAGGAAATGCTAATCTCAAAGCCCTTCCGTTCCCTACTAGAAGGCATTAGCTAAGAATATAACTAAAACCCCAGACTTTCCAGTAGTTAGCTAGCTCTCCTAGCTCCAGCTGGACAGAACTTGCCCAGTGGTCCCCAGAACTCATAGAATGATAGAGTTGTAACATTGGAAAGAACCACAAGGGTCATCTAGTCCAACCCTCTGCAATGCTAGAATCTTTTTGCCCAACGTGGGGCTCGGACCCATGACCCCGACATTAAAAGTCTCACACTCTACCAACTGAGCTGACTCAGCACACCTGCTTCACTTTAAGGGTGGGTCTACTTCCCTTCTCCCACCACCTCTCTCCATACCCTCCAACATTCCTCAGGTGAAAATAGTGACATTTCTCACTCCCCCACAAAATGACCCTCCTCAACCTCCTATTTTTCGTCAGCCATCCCATGCAGAGCATCTCCTATCAGAATAAGGGCAAGTGCCGCCGCCACTACAGCAACAGGACATTGCCCCCCACCACCCTGAGAAAGCCCCTTCATCGCAATTTGATTTGATTTGATTCTTTGGTAGATTTACAACAAGAAAAGCACACACCAATAAATGAATTTTAGAAAAGAGCAGGATTAGATGCAGACGCACAAAGTATTGAAAAATCAAGACTCCTTGTGCTCCACTCTACTCCCCCTTTCTTCCTGCCCTCTACCTGCCCCTCAGAGCTGGTGCATCACACAGAGCTGGGCTGCAGAGCTGGAAGTCTCTTCTCAAGGGAAGTGGCCAGCAGCAGCAGCCATGGAGAAGCAACAGATTCTTCCCTTGCAGCTTGGGACAAGCGCCGGCTCATCCTCCTCCCCGAGCTCAGTGGCAGCAGCAGCACTGGTGGGGGGAAATATGGACATTCCAGGACCAAATCAGAAGTCAAGATGGCTTTTGTGATTCCGGGACTGTCCCTGGAAAACTGAGACACTTGGAGGGCGTGCCCTCTCCGCAATTCTGTAGACCTTTTAAAAAGTTTGGGGATCTTACACTCTTTAATCAAGGTGGGCATGCATTGTAGAATTTGTTACCTGCTTAGACTCTAACTTTGCTATCTGAAGTAGCAGTGAGATCTTCTGTCGCTCCCATTCTACAATAAACCAAGCTTTCATTGTTTCTTTGTATGAGAGTTTCTTGTGGCCATAAGGTCAAGGGTTAACACACATCCACAACAAGCGCACATCATAACGCCAGCAAAAGATCCTAAACCTCTCAGCAGTGTGTATATGAACATGCATGAGTGCAGGTTACACACTTGTGACACCAGGTATACACTTGTAACACTACAGCTCAGTGTTTTATAAAAGAGACAGTACAGTCGTACCTTCGGTTTCGAACAGCTTAGTTTTGGCTCCCGAATGCCGCAAACCCAGAAGTGGCAGTTCTGGTTTGCGAACTATTTTTGGAAGTCAAACGCCCGACAGGGCTTCAGCAGCTTCCGATTGGCTGCAGGAGCTTCCTGCAGCCAATCAGAAGTCGTGCTTTGGTTTCCGAACATTTTGGAATTCGAACAGACTTCCGGAACGGATTCCATTCAACTTCCAAGATACGATTGTATTTTTTTTCTGGGTCTGCTCTAGTAAAGTACTTGTAAGTCCACAGCCGTGTTTAGACATGCACAGCCTCCATCTGTTGCCTCCCAGGTCCACCCTGATTGCTACCCATGCACTGGGGATATGTCTGCAGTGGGGTAACTTTCCAAACATGCACTGACAATCCTCATGAACCCTTAGTTGAAGCTCACCAGCATGGCAGATGTAGGCTCAGCAAGCTTCTTGAGTTGCTTGTGCTGAAATAAGGCGTCTAATAAATTTAATAAATAATAATAATTCCCCACCGCAGACATGCCTCTAGGGCATGGAAAGCATATGGAAGGAACCGGTACAGTGCTGGGGCTCCCAGTCCTACCTGGAGATGTCAGGGATTGAACCTGGGAACCTTCTGCATTCCAAGCAAATGCTCTGACCACTGAACTACAGCCCTTCCTCACAGACCCCTTCACCCAGGTGCGCCAACTTGGGAAAGCCATTGGGGGTGAGGCTGACGTTGCGCATCACAACGTCACAATATCATGTCCAGGAATCGGACACAACGCCTGGATATGACACCGTCACATGCAACGTCCGGGTGCTACACAGCAGCTCAGCTTCCATGGCTGGCGGCTTCTCCGCTTCTCGCCACCACCACAGCCCAGGGGCTATGGAGAAGGAGGAGCCACTGGGTTGCTGGCTTGTGCAACAGTGTTGCATCCGGGTGTTGTGTCCGGAGTCTGGGCATCACATTTGAAATCCCACACGGCACCTGATATTGATATTGAGGGGGAGTGGAAATGTTCTTATGACAGCCTCATGGACACAAACTAATACAGTGGTATCTTGTGTTACATACGCTTCAGGTTACATATGCTTCAGGTTACAGACTCTGCTAACCCAGAAATAGTGCTTCAGGTTAAGAACTTTGCTTCAGGATGAGAACAGAAATCATGCTCTGGCGGCGCGGCAGCAGCAGGAGGCCCCATTAGCTAAAGTGGTGCTTCAGGTTAAGAACAGTTTCAGGTTAAGTACAGACCTCCGGAACGAATTGAGTACTTAACCTGAGGTACCACTGTAAAGCCCTTACCTTTGAATGCTGGAATAGTTGGCTGGAATAGTTACTATTCTCCTCAAATTTGTTTTTGATGGCCAAATCACCCAAATAATATATTCTGTCTGATTCATCTGCTGCCTTCCTGCTCTTAATGTCCTTCAGCGGACCCAGCCCTGTTTCAATAGCAATTACTACGCTCGGCTTTTATCCATTTAGCGCATTCCTCCCGAATGCCTCGATGAACCCATTTTGTCAACATACCCCTTTTATCAGTTCAGCTGCTTGTGAACGATCCAACCAATAATCCATAAAGCACTTCCTGGTCCTTTTAATTATCAGATTCTTCTGAGGAATAGCTACTTAATGGATTCCTTTTATGTGCCTTCTTTTACTACCAGCCCCTAAGAAAGGGAAAGGTAGCAGCTCTGTTATGCTCAAGGTAGCAGCTCTATTATGTTAGGGGGTGGTCACAATGCAATGGGGAAACATAGCTTATGGAATTCAACTCTGATCCTCAAGAGCTCTAATGCACAGAGGGTTGCTTTCAGGATCAGAGCATTAGCGATTCCATTAACCCTAATAATGAGTGGTTGTACATGCAAGTAAAAGAGACTTTGGGCTTGTAGCTGGGGGTGGGAGGGCCCGTATTTTGGATCTCAAATGGAGAAATTAATGCATGAACATTAGAAGTTTTCAGGGTCACTGCCTGCCTGCCACAAAGACGCCTCCAGGTTCTGCTCTGAGCATCCTGAAGTTTGCAGGTATCCATTATGGGAGTGTGGAAGCTGTGCCCATTAAAAACAGCCAAGTTGTGTTTGATTAACAGGCTTTTCATAAACACACTGACACACACTTCTCTCTTTCATTTTCTTTCTTTTTTAATTATCTCCGACTGCAAATGAGCATCATCCGTTTTGCTATCATATTTTCTCAGCCTACAAAGTGCATTCTCACTTTCGGATTTCAGCTAGGAGTGAAAAATGACAGAATTTGTAACGAGAGAGTGAGCAAGATGCCATCAACACCCCTTCGCCCGCAAAAATGGCATCACATCAGGCTTTTAAATCGCGTCTCTGCCACACCTTTGGGCATCCGCGATTCTGTCAGAGCCCTCAAAATCTGCTTCGTCTATCACCAGGTGCAGCCTTTGAACGCTGAAGCGCTATCTGCCATGCTGGTTGGCATGGCAACAGTTGTCAAATCATCCCTTGATAATGTTCTTTAATTGATTGTATAAATTATTTCTGAGCTTTGCTATTGCAAAATGATGTTCCGGGTCTCTTAAGTGAGTGGTTCAGACTGGATGCACTTTAAAATGCATTGCATCCACTGACCTTAGCTGAGAAACTGACCCTCTTACAAGGCTAGAACACTTTGGATAAAGCATAAATGTTAAGCATTAAAATGTGCGGGGGAGGGATTCAGAGCTGTGGCAAAGCTAATTACTGCCCCAAGTGTATGTTAACTTCCATTCAGGCAAACAAAGCCACAATACCTACACAAACCTACAAGAGAAGGTTACACATCAGATCATTTAACAAGCTCTAAATATCGGCGTTGACGCAGTTTTGCTATAACAAAAGATACCATGTTTTAAACCCATCAAGTGCAGTAGGGAGCCCACTACAAGCATAACAATCGCTTCTTCTTATTTAGCCTTTATTTTGTTCGTTTCTTTATTTCACCTAATTGTATTAAAACCTCAAAGCGGGCTGGGAAAAGGTTGAAAACTATAAAATTATCAGCAGAAAACAGAAGCAACTTCTTTAAAACATTCAAAAAATAAATAAATAAGTTAAACCCTGGATTGCAATGCGTGTCAAAACTCTACAAGTCTGGATAGACTTGCCTAAACAAAAGTGTTTTTAGTAGGCACCCAAAAGAGTCTTGAGACAACGACTGGCAAAGAAGATACCTGAATATTCCACTGTCATCTCAAGTGGGATGGTTATTTGGGGAGAGGGATGCGGCTCAGTAACTGTACATGTGTTTTGGATGCAGAAGGTTCCAGGTAATTAATTAATTAAATGGGACCTCTTTCCGCTTAGATATAGAAGCTGCAACTAGGGACACCCACAGTCAAAGCTTCCCTCCTCCTCCCCCCTGAGCTGGATCCATGCGCTACTCTTTCCGTGATGTTTATCCGAGCCCCAGGCACCCCTATGTTAAAACCGACCCATTGCATTGCATAGCATTCTCCTTACTGGTCAGTCCTTTTTACAGAGAAAATGGGCCTGCATGCTTGATCCTTTTGCCACTGCAGTTCTACGCTGACCATCTTTCGGTGATGTCACCGGAGTAGCTTTACTTCCAATTTCCACTAGTCTGAAAAGATAAGAGTCAACCAATCTGTCTATTAATTTCCAGCTCTCCCAGGTGAAACCAAGAGAAACCAGAGGGAACCCAACAGAGACCAACTTAAAGGATTATAGGAACATTGACTAAACTTTCTACTAAGATAGATATTCTGGTGCCAAGCATGCACAAAATTGTTTACCTGTGCTGCTATATATAGCAATAAATATGATTGATATATATATATATATATATATATATATATATATATATATATTTTCATTCCTCTTTTTTGCTATATATAGCAACACAGTTAAACAATTTTGTGCATGCTTTCACACAAAGGAGAAACTAGGAGAATAGGAAGCTGCCTTATACGGAGTCAAAGCACTGGTCAATCTAGCACACTATTGCCTACCTTGATTTGCATATTTTCCCCCCTGCATTTCAGGCAGGGGTCCCTCCCGGCCCTACCTAGAGATACCACTGGGAATGAAAGCTGGGGCATTCTGCATGCAAAGCAGATGCTGTACCGTAAGAGGGAAGGGGGCAAAGGATGTGTTATATGGAAGAGGCATAATTGGATCTCCCATTTTTGTTCAAACAAAATCCAGACACTACAGCAGGGTTTGCTGTAAATTAGCATGCAGCAAAAGAGGTACCCAACACTCTGCACCATCTCCCCATTCTAAATTACCCATGCTGCTAATTGTGGGGCGGGGGGAGAGTATAATAACAAATTTGCAGCCTCCCAGCAGAGACACATTCTAGTTCAACAGAAATGTCAAGAGATCCATCAAGGATCTATGTAATGTGTAGTTTGGCCCAGAGAAGCAGCTGGAGGTTAACTTTTCCTTGGCCACCTAGCAAGCCTCTGACTGAAGCATGGCTTAATCTCAGATTATTCAAGATGAAAACTCAATACAGGCCACACTCGATACAGGCCATTAACACATGTCCAAGGCACGCATTCATGACCCTACAATTTTTTTGATTCTATGATGATGGACATTTTAGATTCTAAGAATGCCTGAGGAAATTGGTTTCTGCAGATTTCATTGCAAACCGAGCTGATATGTGTGTAACATGGCCTAACACTCTACCCAATGTAACAGTATTTCATATGTTCTCGCAGGCTGCCTTGTAGTATAATAGTCATTTTCTCTCTTTGTGTTGAAGCAAAATAAAAATTTCAAAACAGTGATGCAGAAACATTTTTCAGCATGCTTTAATTCCTCTCTGGGTCCTTTCCTGTAATGTTACTAGAACACAACTATGGTCTCTTGGTTTGTGTGTGTATTTGTGGTGGGTGGGTGTGTATGTTTTCCTTTTATTTATTTTTGCAACTCGAGTATTCGAGGGTATTGTTTCTGTAGCAGCTATGGCATTTAACGGCATGCCTTGTGATTTGTGTCCAGGAAAGAAACACATAGCTAATGAAGTTACAGCACATCTTAAAACTCCCAACCTGAAATATCTTCCAACGTATGAAATGCCTTTTCTAATTTGCATAGTTGTTCAGACTGGTATCTCAAAACAAGCATCCATTGAAATGTGGGCGGCTGTCCATGGATGACTGTTTTATGTCCCTCATGGGACATTACTTCAGTAGCATCTACAAGTGAAGCAAAATTATGACTGTAGTGCAGATGAAAGTTCCCTAATTCTGGTTTTCATCATTTGCCTTGTTTTCCCATTTTGCAAAGCTTCATAAAATTAGGTTTGCTGCCATACATTTTACTATGCCTGAGGGAAATTATTGATAGTCCTGGATAGTCTGAAAGATATCATTTGAGCCCAGGCTTCTATTTTGCTTTATTTGTCTGGCATGCCATCAGTGTGAAGGCACCGTAAACTTACTCGCATAATGCAAGCAAATAGCCAGTGCCTGCCTAATTCCGCTCGGTGTATTCACGGGAAGTATAAAATTAGACAAAATTGCTACATTTGGAAACTGGGCTGCATGTATCGGATCTTTTAAAAGTGAATTTGGGTCTGAGGTGGTCTGGAATGCTATCATTTAATATGGCTCATCCTTTGTTTGCACTGTGCAGCTTCTGCCTACCAAACCTCCATCTTCAAATGCATAATACATCTTCCCTTCTTCTGCCTAAAACAGCCTGTTATCCCCAGCACAAACCCACTGCGTTCAATTGGCTGGGGAAGCTCTGCTGTCTATATTCGCTGTATTATACTGCAGCATTGTGCATGGTTTTTATTTTCAGTATTATTATTATTGTACTAACTGTTCTTATACAGGCACAATTGTTTTACTATGTTATGCATTTTTGCATTTTTATATTGCAAACTGCCCTACGATCCTCAGATGAAGGGCAGTAAAGAAATTTAATAACACAGAGAGAGAAAATCATAGAATTGTAGGGTTGGAAGGGACCCTGAGGATCATCTATTTCAACACCCTGCAATGCAGGAATATGCAGCTGTCCCAAACAGCAATCGAACCTGCGACCTTGGCATTATCACACCATGCTCTAACCAACCTTTTTTATATATAAGTGGCAATTCTACACACGCATCATTTTGAACACGCGCAGGATTACACTGTTACTATTGCAAATGTAAAAGCATAGGCTAGTCCCCACTCCCTCTGCAATCAAGACAGACCTTAGTGGTCACCCCAACTCACATGATCCCTTTAAACTTATTTTCCTGACTCTAAACTTAATTGAGCTTTGGGGCCCATGTGTTTCCAAAAAAGAATGGTGCGAATGATACCTTGTAAAGTCAAGGTGCTCTTCCCTGCTCCTACACAGCCTACACTAGATCCTCTATAATTATATTTGATCTTTCCTTTATCTTTTCGTTACCTTCTTCTCTTATTTACAAAGCTAGTTTGAATTCAGCATCTCAAATGATACTCAGCAAATGAAGCTGCAACCCTGTGCGCCTGGGAGCAAGTCCCCTTGAACTCCATTAAAGCACACACAAAAGTTTAAAACAATTTACAACCACAGAAATAAAGTGGGTCCTAAAAACATGCATGTCAGCTGTCAAAAGCCAGGGAAAGGCAGGATACAGCATTGCCTGAAAGCCGTATCATGATGGCACCAGACATACCATATTTTTTGCTCTATACGACTCACTTTTTCCCTCCTAAAAAGTAAGGGGAAATGTGTGTGCGTCTTACGGAGTGAATGCAGGCTGCGCAGCTATCCCAGAAGCCAGAACAGCAAGTGGGATTGCTGCTTTCACTTCGCAGCGATCCCTCTTGCTGTTCTGCCTTCTGGGATTCAGAATATTTTTTTTCTTGTTTTCCTCCTCCCAAAACTTGTTGTTGTTGTTTAGTCGTTTAGTCGTGTCCGACTCTTCGTGCTGCATCTTATGGTCTGGTGCATCTTATAGAGCGAAAAATACGGTACCTCTGTGGAGAGGAAGTTCAATGGGGGGGCAGAACAACCAAGTGATTTGTTATCAGCTGTTGTGGTGCTCCTTTGAAGGACTGTGTCATTTTTACAGATCTGATGCTTTCTTTTTATCCAATAGGACTTTGTCGTAAACCGCCCTGTGGCTTGTTCAGAGTATGGTATGTAAATCACATCAATAAATTCACAAAGTGGAGGCTTGGGATATGGTGGCTCCAATGTCCCCACTCCAAACTGCCCCGGACACCCCTCCCCCCCAAAAAAAATAATCTTCACCTTTTGGCCTTCCTGCTCTCAGAACACCAAGGGCAGATCAGCCTCAGTGGCTGAGCTTTCCACTGCCACACTGGGGAGCATCCAGTCTCTCCATCCAACCGTGGAGCACTGTTCCACAGCATTTGGTATTTTCATTTACATACATTCATTCAAAATAAGATGGGTTTATGAAGCAATTCTAGATCCTCCCACCACACTGACGAAGAAGTCTATGAAACAGTACTCAATATCCGGAATCACTGTTCAGTGTCGGACATCATATTTGCTGAATACACAAAGCTTCACAGCTTGTCTTTCATCGTACAAAGTCTGGTACCTCGCTTCATTTAAAGATTTTCAGAGACTTTGAGACTAAAGATTTCATTTTGTACTTGTTATGGGTTGAAGGAATTCTATAATTCTATATAAGAGCCAGTGTGGTGTAGTGGTTAAGAGCAATAGACTCGTAATCTGGTGAACCGGGTTCTCGTCTCCGCTCCTCCACATGCAGCTGCTGGGTGACCTTGGGCTAGTCACACTTCTCTGATAGCATTATGCCTTAGCATTATGAGCTTCATCCTTCATAAGGACCACTAGTCGGCATCACACACTGACTTTAAGGTAAGAGCAGGTGGTCACAAGATATTGTGTCCTTTTTAATACAGTGGTACCTCAGGTTACAGACACTTCAGGTTATGCGATTTCGGGTTGTGCACCGCGCCGAACCTGGAAGTACCGGAACGGGTTACTTTCGGGTTTCGGCACTTGCACTTGGGCATACGCAGAAGGGCCAAATCACAACCTGCGCATGCGCAGACACAGTACTGCAGGTTGCGCATGGTGCGGGTTGCGAACGTGTCTCCCGCCAGTGTGGTGTGGTGGTTAAGAGCGGCAGTCTCGTAATCTGGGGAATCAGGTTCGTGTCTCCGCTCCTCCACATGCAGCTGCTGGGTGACCTTAGGCTAGTCACACTTCTCTCTGAAGTCTCTCAGCCCCACTCACCTCACAGAGTGTTTGTTGTGGGGGAGGAAGGGAAAGGAGAATGTTAGCTGCTTTGAGACTCCTTCGGGTAGTGATAAAGTGGGATATCAAATCCAAACTCCTCTTCTTCTTCTTCTTCTTCTTCTTCTTCTTCTTCTTCTTCTTCTTCTATAAAGATTGTCTATTGCATATGTACATGGTCATTGTGTTGCCTAGAAATTGCTGACGTTCTCTTTGCAACACAGGGGTTTGTTTGGTTACTCAGAACACCAAGGGCACGTCAGCATCAGTGGCTGAGCTTTCCACTGGGGAGCATCCAATCTCTCCATCCAACCGTGGTCCTCCCTCTCCAACATCTGACATCCAACATCCAACAGCCTCTCTTCCCGGGAGTTTACAATTTCTCCCTAACCCACCCTATGTGATTATTAACAGCAAAGCAGCACAACTTTAATAAGGGTCTTACAGCTCACATGTCTTCTCCCCCCTCCCTTATCACTTTAAGAAGCTGTTTGATCCAGGAAGGGATAGGTGGAAATAGATGACTTAGCTACTAGCTTTTATGGCGCCAAATGTTTAAGAGGTTCTGCGTGCTCCCAAACATTATTTCTGCCAACCAATTATGATTATTTTCCTTCTGTAATTACTTTTCAATTGATGTAGAACTTGCGATAGCATCAGCTTTGGCTACTCTGATTCCAACAGC